AAGCGCTAGAAAATTCTTGGAAAAGCATCCAGCCGAAAACATAACAAAATCTAGACAAAGCCTAGAGCATTCCTAGGAAAATGCCAGAAAAGCCTTTGAAAATCTCATAAACCAACAGAAAACGTGACAAAATCTACGAAAAAGCAAGGGCATTGGCCGGGACCATGCCGCGACCAGCCCGGGATTCGAGCCCAGGACCATTTTGGACCGTGCTTATTTTCCCGCGCGGGTCGAGAGGGTGCCCCAAGATGTAAATCAATTGGGATGGCAGAATCTTGGACAATCCATTTCGCTTTCCCGTCAAATTCCGTAGCTATCAGGTCGCTTTTAGGTCAAGATTTCGTCACTGCAACAAGGGTCCGGAGGGGTAGGGGAGGTAAGGTCTAGGTCTAAGGCTAAGGACTAGGTCTAAGGCTAAGGATAAGGCTAAGGCTTAAGTCTAAGGCTAAGGCTAAGGAATAAGGCTAAGGCTAAGGCTAAGGCTTAAGGCTAAGGCTAACATCGACAGTCACGCCTCACCCCACGGTGTGGGGTCGGCGGATTATCAAATGACAGTTTTTTGTGATGTTCATTGCAGTAATTACATGAGTGCAGACGATTGTAACAGATATATTTTACTTCAGCAAAGTGAGCATGGTGATGGTCTTTGAAGACGATGAGCAAGGCACACAGTGCCAAAAGAAAAACACTACTGTACTTGAAACAAAGGGTACTGGATTTGGAGAAGGTTAGCATCATGAGCGACACATTTGCCAATACAACATGATGAGAACATTGGTTCATATTTTTGAGACTATATGATGTCTTCTATTTAGGACGCGGGTTGCGATCTAGGCCGTTAGTTTCATTGTAGGACTCAAGTCACAAGTTAATACCGGACAAGGACATGTGTTTCTCTTTATATATTAGACTCAGGCTCCTGAACGCCTGTGACAAGCGGGATCCTATTTGGATGTGGTGCCTTTAAACATGTCGTACGGCTTATGATAAAGCAAGGCTTCTTATTTTATGATATCAGACCACGGTTTTGTGTTGACTGAGGCTCATGTGAAAGACATGTCATTTACTTTACACAGGTCCTAGGGCGGTGGCACGCGTACTTTAATGCATTCACATTGTTTACCACTTCTGACTCTTAACTCTGATTGCTTTGACCGCTGCTCAAGCTTCATGCTCGTTTGGCTCTTGACTTTGGGAGTGTGGTTCGGGCTCGCTTTCCACTCACACTGCACGGCGTCGGTGCCCTACTTAGCCCGCTTTGTTTTTGGATCTACCTGGATTTCGCATGCTGCCCCCACGCAGCACCCAGACTCCGCTCCAACTGCTTCGCTACGCCTCTGGGCGTACTTGCGTGACGTCATCTTGATTGAAACTGTGAAGGCTTCAGCACGCGCGCACGTGCTCTGAGGGGCCTCGCTGACAATCTTGAGAGGGGGGTTCTGGGTTCTCCTCTGGACCGGGACCTGGTCACCGAGATCATTGAGGCAGTGTGCACATGTGAAGCATTGCGCAATTGCTGTATCGTGGATGTTGTTCGGCCACACTTTTACACAGACAGTGCCAAGCACCACTTGAGGCAAACAAGCAAAACATGAGGCAAACAAGACAAACATCTACTATGACTAGTCTCAAGTCATCATGTTCCCAAAAAATCGTTTTTGTGTTTGCGTGAGTTTGCATGATGCTCTCAAACATTGGAGGCTGTAGGAATGTTCTTGCAGGAATTCAAGGAGCTGACGCCAAAAAAGTCCTGCTGAAACTGTTTGGGGTCTACGGTGTACGCTGGTATAGTTAGGCCTGAGTGGAGTGGTTCGCAAACGGTGAAACTAGACTAAACTGCTTGTGTTGAGAACAGCGGGCGCCATTGAAGGGTGAAACTTTTGTTTCAAGGCCGAACACCCAACAGCAGACAGACCCGTAAAGAGCGCTTGATTCTACCCTGTGCACGGCACACATTTGTTGCAATGTGCAATGAACATCCAAGCTTTTCGTGCCCGTACATGTAAACAATTGTTACCTGGCCACTAGTTGGGGCTGCCCCGACCACCATGGGCATTATCTCAGATTGAATGACTTTGGATTTGCCTCCTGTAAATCCAATTGTGTTTTTATTGACAATGCGCCAGAAGGCCGCGTTACTTGGGAGAGAGCCCTCCTCGCACAAACGGTGGACAAAGGGGAGAACGCGAGAGTGATTAGAAGCGTGAGATGCCTAAGGATAGCTTCCAGGAGGATGTCGAGGCTGGAAAAGGCCACTGCTGCCATTGATAGTTGACCTGCCCTGAAGGTTGCATGTGGTGGTCAAGAAACTCGATGCGATAGAGTCCTTGGGATGTGCACATCTTAGCAATAGGGTACTGCAGGGTGCTGGGTGTATTGACGTTGAGTGTTTTATCGTGATTGATACCAACCAGGACCATCAACAGACAGTAAGCGTTGCTGAGCGTTGAATTGCTAATAGGATTGCCGCCCAAAAGCTTGAGGCCATTAAAAGCGAGTGACATATCATTTTGGATGTAGAGGGCACAACGAAGAGATCGTGCGCACACAAGGGGGCTTGTAAGTGGCTGCCGTGGTCTTGTGGCCCCTTGGTTTGGCACACGGGACCTTGGTTTAGATACAGAACGTGTATATATATAGAGTTATATATGTAGTTAAAAAATGCACGCATGCTCCAACGACCCATTTGAAAGCAATCATTTGTAACGAGCAGCGGGTAGCGGTGATGGGATGACGCGGAGAGCACGGGAGACGTCCACCAAGCAGCATGTCTTTTGCAATTCAAGAGCTGAATCATGACGGAGAGCAGAGCATGCCAAAACATTGCGAAACAGAAGGGGCTACTGGGCTACTAAGTCTATCTAGCCAGCTGCTACTCACTACTCGTTATAATTCTGCTTGCGAAGCCTTCCCTTCTTCCCCGTGGCCTCAGAGTCTCTATCCTCTCTTTGCTCTCACTCACTCTCTTTCACAAATCAAAGGCTCAAACTTGCATTGCCATACTCGTGAGAGAATCACTGGGAGCGAGTAAGTGATTCTGAATTTTGAGCGTTCATTCTGCTCGAGACTGCGCCTTGTGCACCACCTCAGAGCATTCCAAGCCCCAGAAATGGTCACCGACTAATTCTTGAAGTACGACTCCTTAGAGATCCACCGATGCGGGGGCCAGAGGAAGAAGCCCGCAGAACTTCGAAAGGGCAGTTCATGAGACATTAAAGAGACTAAAAGGGTAAAACACTGCGGCGAGAGGCAACTGCCATTTGAGGCAAAAAGAGTGACAGGAACAAGGCTTACATGTACAAAGCCACCAGGGGCCAGGGGAGAAAATTAGTGGCATATGGCATACAAGCGTACCCACTGCACCACGAGCAGAGAAAGGAGCTAACTGGACTATACATCACTACGGCACAAGTTTGCCCTCTTGAAGGTTCCAAATGGACAACCTGCAAGACATTTATGTCACCTCACATGGTCAACTTTCCCCCCACCAAAGCTGTTTAAGTGTAATAAATCAAGAAGAGGGTGACAATAATCGACCGTCCCACACTGGCGTCGCGAAGTATTTGACGGCGGCTGATCCACATAGATGTTATAAGGCGTTTTAAGGCCGACGTTATAAGACGCAGTAAGAAGAAAACACTTTCTTCCTCCCGAAGTATACTTTTGCAAAAAACATCATGCAAGTTATTTGTGTGTGCAAGTTGGCATGTGCCGATTGGGAGGTGGTTTTTGAGGGGATTTGGAGGGTTCTGGACGTGTTCTGCGTGAAACTGGCTCCGAAGAAGTTTCCTTAGTTTAACTTTTGAATCCTTGGCATTTCCTGGCGGGTATTTTGGGCAAGGACCCTCAACTTCATAAACAATAACAATTTTCTGAACCCTCCAGTGGGCACCACTTGCAGTTTTCGGTGCAACGCCACCAGCGATAGTTATGATTCGCAGCGCAACCTTCCTTTAACAGGTCCCACGACACATTTAAGCGGGGAACAATTGCTGGTGGAGTCCCTCCCCGTGACAGCTATTGCAAGTTTTTGTTGCATGGTGCTTGTTGGTGCGCCTCGAGCATTCTGAGAGGTTCTCCACACGAGAAACATTTCTTGTGTGTATGCCTCCAATCGTTGACGCTGATATTCGTTAGAAATGCTGGCACTGCGACTGTGAAGACGTACATATGAAAAATGAATCGTTTTCCATTTCTGTAAACTGATTGTTAACTGATAATTATTTGGCCTGCTGAGGTGTCTCGACATTCTGTTCAGACAAAACTGGAACGCTGACAGCTGGCGTAATGCAGGCACGTCTTCCCTTTCTGCCTTCTAGTCTTTCTGCCTTCTATATAGTAACTTGAAGCTTCAAGATCTATCTTTAAATCACACTCTGAATGTTGTCAACGCTGACCATGCATTCTTGTGTTGCACAGCTTGAGCCCAGGTTCAAGAGGTGCTGCTCCCGTTCGGGGAGGCAATGGATGACCACCTTTCGTGGCTATATATAGTATGTTGAGAATACTGGGGACCGACACCCCAAAACGAACCACGACAGGTCTAGCGCCTTTCATCCAGACACTGCACTGTACGGCCCACCCGCTCCTCCCTTCGAGATCGAGAAGCGGCAGTTCAACACTCCCCAAATTATTTTGGTCATGGACTGACTGTTTACTGCCACGTGAAAAGGGTCTTACTAAACGACACATCACTGCCATTGACATTCTTTTTTTATCTTGACCTTCTGGGATTGAGCTCGTTCAAAGAGGGTGCTTTCATCCGCCAACGAATGTGGTCCCCTGTTGGGGACACTGATGATGAGTGACTGTATGGCTGCGTGCTTTGTCAGGCCATCCGCAAGATTGCAGGGACCTGGGAGCCAACGTAGCGAAGCATTGCGTCCCTCAGTGCCTTCCCAAAGCTGACCCAACAGTAGCATGCAAGGAAGCAAGGTCAAGAGCCAAGATTCTATCACGAGACAACCCACGTTCTGCTGAGATATGATCGAAAACACTTCTGCTACCAGTGGCACTATAAGTGTACTCCTTTCCCGCTGTCTGAAGTCAAATTCTACATCTGTCATTTCACAAACACAAGCACGCAAGAACTCCGCATGTTCAGTGGCTTCACACAGACCCATTGATTCCATGGCCATAGAGGAGCGAGCGACTTGTTTCAAGCGATGCGAAAGCCAGAACAAGCACGCAGCTGGAGCACTCTGTTCAATGACTTCAGGACTGGACATCATAAGAATCCCACCCTGAGAGCCTTGCCTGGGCATTTTGCCTGGGCTTGCATCGCTGATTTCGATCACGACAGCGCGAGAAAGATCAATTCCTGGTATCACTCTTTCATACGAGTATTGTTGAGCACGACTCTGCTGCAGCCAACTGACTTCGAAGCTAACATCTAGACGGCTAGACTTTGCTAGCCAGTGCACCTGCAGTCCGTCTAAGGTCTGCGCGAGTGGCTTCTGACACTGGCTGGAGTTCAGCTTTCGATATGGGCACCCCTGGTACTCTTCCTGCATAGCCAGGCTGGGAAATCCTGATGGTGAAGCCTTCAGCCTGTTTAACATGTCTACCAAGATTGTCAAATTCCTTGACATACCATTTGCCAAAAGAAAGTTTTCCTTTCATTTTTGTGAGCGCAGTTTTAAAAGTTGCAGCTCCGGTGACGATCAGGTCATCCACATGAACTGCAATCAGTCCAGTCAACTCGACTTTTCGTCCATCTTTGTCTCTGGCCCAATACTTCTCTAGGAGATCGTCTTGGTGAACACCTTCCAATCCTTTTTTTGGGGGTCTCAAGTAAAGAGAACGAAGGTCGTACCAAAAAGGCAGCGGAGACATGTCCTCCTTGCAACACCCCGCTTTGATGCAGCAAACAGGAAACACTCTTCACTCCCAAACCGCCAGCTGTGGGAGCAGCAGTCCGAAGAAGTTCGATGTCCGGGCCCAAGTGTCCTTCACATACAAGGCGTGCTTTTGCAATGAGACTATGTCCTGACGCGTCCTTGTTTGTCAAAATCAACCGAGCACGGAGAATGCGACTCTTTGGCATTTGGGCAGCATCTTTACTCCTAATGATATTGACGGCTCCTAGACCCCAAAAACTTTTTCCATTCTTTGTTGATAGCTTTTTTGAATTGAGCAAGTTGGTCAGGGGTCGTTTCTTTCATTTTCCATTCACGATTCTTCTTCTTCTTCTGGAAATTCTTCGCGGCGCAACGGTTCAGTCACACCAGCCACCAAGGTCAGCCGCTTGTGTTGGTGATTGCATTTGTCGCACCAAAGGACGGTCCGCTGAAGCGATTCAAGGTTTTGCGCAGGTCGTCTTTGCCGCAATGATGTCGCGGACTGGTGGTGGTCGCTTTCGAGCTAACATTTTCCCGAATTTGCTTGACATGGTGGCCCTCTGAGCACTAACAGCGTTTCGAGATCGGTTTCTCCAATGAGGAACAGGTTCCTCACAAGACATGTCTTCATATGCAGGAAAAGTGGTTTGGTCGGGGACGTTTTCAACCCCTTCTAGCGTTTCCTTTTCTCCACTTGCTTCTATCGGATTTTCCTCAGTCACAAGTTCCAACTCTGGTGCACTACGTTCTAAGGCCGATGCGATATGTTCTGGACTTGCAACCGAATCTGCCGGACCTTTCATCATTGTTGCGATCTAAGGCAGCCGCTTCAGGTTCAGGCTCATGTTCACAAAACCCTTTGGTGGTCTTTTGAAAAGACATCTCCGTCTACCTAGCAAAGGAACTTCTTCAGCTGTCACCGTTTGACCCGGTTAAAGAGGGGGTTGATCGCGAGAAATGGCCGGAGGTTGAGAGTTGAGACTCAGTCAAATCGAGAAACCTCTGCTCTTCGGGCCGACTTCCTGCAGGTGTTCCTCCAAATGCTCTCCACCATGGTGTGTCCAATGATTTCTTCCTCAGTAGCTGATCTGAGGTTTTCAACCCGAACTTTGAGCAAAGTGCGTCTCCAGCTCACCCACGCGGTTCCATGTCCTTGCTGTGCAGCAGTAGCAGGTCCACGCCAACTGTGAGGTGTGTTATTATTGTGAACCTGGTTTGGTCGACCTGAAAGTTGGAGATGGTAGAAGTGAACAGTTCACCTGGCGCGAAGGTTTCTTTGTGTTGTTTGGGTCGAGCAAGGATAGCGCGACGAATCCGACTCGAGTTATCCAACTGCGTCCACGTGATTCGAGCTGTTTCTCTGATGTTCCATATTGCTGCAAATTGTCCTCCTGCTTGGATGTGATCGCGCGCGGCCGGGTCCTGTGGTCGATCTAACACTGAGCCGGGAACGCACAAGTCGTAGCCCAATACCCATTCAACGCGAGAATCCATGCCGTCGAGACAATTAATTCCTGGCAGCTGCCGTTTCTTGCAATGCACACCTGAAGGCCGTGTCGTCATAGATGCTGTGTTGATCCATCAGTTTCCTCATGATCGTTTCCGCTACGTCGTTCAACCAAGCCTCCTCTCCAGTGGCTTTCGACTGGAATGATGGTGGCCTGTGTGCCAACTTGTTCAAGGAGAGCTTCAAAATCCTTGGTGAACTCTCCTCCGTGATCATAGAGCACTTGAGTAGGGCTTCAGGGAAGACAGAACCACCTCATTGAATTCATCAGCTCTAGGAACTCCCCCTTTAGGCACTTCCCAAGTTGAATGGCTTGACCATCTCACACCGTTTTCTGTTGAATATCAAGTTGTCGGTGAAAGTGTTTGCGACAGTACTTCCCAAAACCCTCTGCGTGTCGGCGTTTGCGTTTCAGTCGTTTGACCTTAGCTGCGCGTTTCACTCAAGGTGGGGCCCATGAAACAACTTCAGGAGCCCATTTCTGCATTTCTTGGTTCAATGCTATTTGTGGTTGGCCGGTAGTCAGGTCAAGACCATCTATGGCAATGTCTACTGGCTGAAGTGCTCTCCAGCCCCGTTGCGAAGCAACTCGACTCAAGGTCATTGACCCAGCGAAGACTTCCAAAAGCACGGGAGCCCCATTTTTGACTCGCAGACAAGTTGTCTATGTGTTGCGAGAGTTCCGAAAAGGCTTCTAATGCCGTCCAGACTCGTTCCAGATGACCTCGATTCGTCATAATTCGTTTGATGCTACTTTTTAACAGACTATGACTATGGTAACAGCTCTTCCAGCGTCATTGCTGGGCGAGAAGCAAGCGTTGGGCCCTGAGCTTGAGCAGCTGCTGTGGTAGGCATTTGATGGCGTAGTGCAGCAGTGCAGCAGCCCGAGTCAACAGTTGTTGTGCCTCCATCTCTGCTGTCTGAATGGCCTTCATGACTGAAGCGTTGGCTGTCAAAGTGTCCGTGGTTGGCGCTACATCCCATTTGTCTTCGTAAGACCTCTTGGCCATGGATTCCTGAGGAGGTGTCTTCGATCCTGGTGTTTGAGCCTGAAGAGCCAAATGACATTGTGCGCCCCAGTGTTCCCTCAATTGAGCTTGAAGTTCTCCGCACTTCAGCTTGTCCCCCGTGGCAATGCCATGAAGATGGCGCAAGGAGATCAGGTCCTTCAAGCGCAGCTGAGTGAAGCGAGTGATCAGACACTTGCTGTGAGCCACATGGTGGTCAGGGGGCTCGCGAGAGGAATTCACCTGTGGGCTGTGCCTTCATCAAGGGCTTGGTGAGGGGTTCCTTTGTGGTCGGGGTGCCGTGTGAACGGCAGCGCTGATACGGAGGAGATTCCCCGCTCCAGCACTCTTGACATTTTTTCATCAGCTTGGACGCCGCGAGGGATTCACTTTGAGCAGAGAGTACTTCAACACCGTTCCAAACAATTTACCCTTGCCAGTGCCAACCGACCAACTCCAAGCCTCCCCTTTTCATGGAGAGGCGTTGTGAGGATGCGATTTTTTATCCAATGATAAAAACAAAAAACAACTCAGAACCAGAATCGCTCAGTCCTATATGAAGAGCAAACTAAGAAAGAAGACAAGAAGTGCTTGTATCGTGCGCATCAATGGCTTCCGAGCGATGCGCCCAACTCCGTCTTTCCTTTTCGTGTCTCATGACCATCATGTCTTTGGTGACCCATGCTGCTTGATCACTAAGGAGCGCGCCGCTAAGACTTTGACCTCTGGTCTCTAAGGTTGAAGCTGGTTCACTAAGAGTCCCACTTAAGGCTGGAGCGATGCTAGGTTCGACAAATAAGGAGGAAACCCGTGACTCTGTTCCTGGAGGTGGTGGCTACAACTAAGCTCTCTCCAGTATCGACCACGCTGACGTGTCGCCTGAGAGCTCAGGATCAAAAAGTTTCTGTTGTGCCTCATGTGTGGCTGTTGGAGGAAGACAGTGTAACCAGTCCATTCGCGATCCACGAAAACAGGATCCGAGTGGGCGCTCTATTCCAGCCCTTCGGGCCAGAATTCTCCTCAACAAGAGTGGATCTCTGTCTAAGGCACCCCGGACTTGTCTACTTGGCGGAACTGCTAGCAGGTAGACGCTTGGCCAACAACGCTCCAAACGCCGCTGCTTGTTGCTTTCCGGGCGCGCGTCTGGAATGCTGCGCTAGCCTTTAGAAGTCCCAAGCAGCTTTGGATTTTGTTGAGCTCGATTAAGCGCCGGGAGGATGCGTGGGGCTGGCCTTTAGTTCACAATTGCATCTTCACAATGACATTGCTTTCGGCGTGTTCGCAACTTTCAAGCGATGACACTCATGACACTCCACCAGCGTTCTTTGGATGGAGATGAGCAAGCAAACAGTAAACAGGCCGAGGGCCTGCAACATCTACAGTATATGTCAACTTGTAAGTCCTTGCGCGCGTGATGCACGAAGCTGGATCCAATCTGGCCGGTGATATGCGCGTGTGCGTCCCAAGTGCTTTGGATTGGATGGTTTTTCCAAACATGGACGCCAGATGCTTCTGCACATCTCCACCTATCTTTTTGGGAAGGCTTTAGCTGCGGTCAAACGAGAATCCAACATGCTTAGCTTTAGCTCCTTAACTTAAGCTGGACCAACAGACTTGCCTTGTGTGTCCAACAAACGAGATGAGGCAATTTTCGGCATTTTCCGTGCAAGGCCTTGGAGATGAAGAGTTTCGAGGCAGAGGCGCGCATCGGGTGAGGATTGCAGGTTGAATAGACTATTTACGGAGGTTGATCTGCAAGTTGGTCGTTTAATGTATGGGGGTGTGATGTCATCCAACGCCCTTAGAAAGAGAGCGGGTGAAAGATATGCAGCAACCTTGCACTTAGAATACGACATGCAGATAGAGTATCTTTTGATCCGTTTGATGTCATGAATGGAGATGGGTGCACCACACCGACTGAAAGCGCAACATTCAATCAACACCTTTTCGTGCTTATCAGGGCCACTGACAGCCCAGGGACGAGGGCAGGATAAGGCGGCCCTGAGCTGGCAGGGGTAGAAGAGCCCGAAGAAAGCAAACTGGAAGAAGCGCGAGAAGGTCTACATGATTGTTGTTTATTCTAAACGCGCGATCCAACCTGCCCACGCAACACTAACATATGCGTGTGTATTTTTTGGTTGCCAACCATAAACGGCCATGCTGCGCAGGCCGTCAGCACGAGCTGCAGCATTTAGGTCACGAAGAGGTTGGCCAGCTGTACTTGCTGTCCAGATTGGCCGCGCAAACCTTCGAGCGTGAGTGGGTGAAGGTCACGAAAGACTTTTGAAAGGCTGTCGCGGAAACCAGAACCAAGGTGGCTTTCTGATCAATTAGGGATGGCCAACTGACAAGAGGTTTTGAAAGAATGTTGAGTCTCAAAAGACTTGGCTCATGGAGCAAGTGTGCAGCGGCAAGGCCATTGGCGTTGAAACCAAGATTGCTCAGCAGGTTGTGTGGCGTGTTGTGGGCGAATCACGCAGCAACTGCTACTTCTCTGTTGTTGACGACGGCTCCAAAGTGGTGCTCAGCGCCCACAAGTGTTGGAGAAGCGGTTCAGCTCTTTGCGTACAGTGGCGTACAGCCAGTCAAACTAGCTGGGACTGGGATCGAGAGTGCCAAACAGCCCTCACCGACGGGTGGTGGGACAGGTGTGTTGGAAGAGAAAATTACACTACTACTACACACCAAGGAATGGCGCAAGCGTCCGGGGGCGCGCCCGAAAAAAGGAAAGTGTTCCTAGCCACGATCATGGAGGTCACGTGACCTGTGGATGACTCGATCAATCCTACGGCCGCTTCGGCTGTGGGCGCCTCTATGCTGACCTTGACCCACCTATCCCGAAGGCCTCTATGTCACATAGAATGTCCGCTATGAACGCTCTGCCCCCGATCGAAGCGCATGGCGTTATTTTTCGCAAGGCCGATTCCCTCAGACCATCTGGCCTTGACCACGAGAGCGGGCTTGTTGGTCATGTTGACAACTAGCTAACTAACTCGGTAACTAACTCGCGAACGAACTAGGTAAGTAGCTAACTCACTGACTAAAAAGCTCAGTCACTAACATTCACTAACTCACTCACTCAACCTAACCTAGCCTAACCTAACCTAAACTAACCTAACCGAACCTAGACGAACTAACTAAACTAACTAACCACCCAGCTAGCCAACTAAACTAACTAGCTAACTAACTAGCTAACTAAATTAACTAACTAACTAACTACCTACCTAACTAACTAACTAAGCAACTAAGTAATTAACTGGCTGACTGACTGACTGACTGACTGACTGAGTGACGAAATAGTAACTTTACTAACTAACTAACTAACTAACTGACTGACTGACTGACTGACTGACTGACTAACTAAACTAAACTAAACTAAACTAAACTAAACTAACTCAACTAACTCAACTAACTTAACTACCTTAACTAACTTAACTAACCAAACTAACCAAACTAACCAACTAACTAACTAACTAGCTAACTAACTAACTAACTCACTAACTCACGAACCGACCAACCGACCAACCGACCAACCGACCAACCAACCAACCAAGTAAGATATGCTTTGCTTGTTGATGCTTGAATGTGGTGCTGATGGCCCCACCCCCACACCCCTCCCAGAAACCACCCATTATGCTGGTGATGCTGGTTCTCGTCGCAAGTGATCGGCAAAAAAGTGAGGATCTGTATCGTCGCAAGTGATCGGAGCGTCGCAAGTGAACGGTGCGCCGTTGCAACCTGAGATGCAGTGATCGCTTCCGACTGTCAAAGTGTTGTCGCCGGTTGCCTCCTTGAACAAGTTCACTGTCGGTTGTCCAAGGCTGAGTGCTTCGACAATCGGTATTTTGTGAGATTTATATCATTTGCGCTCACGTTCGTGACCGAAATGGTCAGAGATCAGGCACACTGCCGCGTTGGTGATTTAAAGCAGCCAGATCACTGGACTCGCGCAAACCCCGAAGACGACTGGCTAGCGAAATGCTGCCAAAGATCTTGCCAGCTTGAGCGAGCCGATGCTCAAGTTCACATCTTCTCGACGTTGCTCCTGTTGCCAAACGACAGTCAGAATGCGTGCGAAGACGGCTCCGTGTTTCCTCATCTTTCCAAATCCTACAAGTGAAACTGTTCCCTCCCAATCCGTTTCTGCTGGAAACAATCGGCTTGTCACAGCCCCCGAACATGATCGAAGATGTCAGTCTCAATCTGTAATTGTTGCGCAGCCCGAAAATGCTTTTATTCAGGCCTTTTTGAACCAGAGAAAGCGATCCCCGAAGGAGGTCAACTGAAGCTCTAATTTATTATTAGACAGGTCAGAATCGAAGGGATCGTCGTTGTCTCAAGTTGATGCTTGTGACGCAAACAAAATGGCTTATACCCTCAGAACAGGAAGAGTGCTTTTCCTCGCCTTCTGTAGTCGCACTGACTGTACATACTCATCTCGCGCAATGTAAGTCGCTGCACGTTCCCGTATGCATGTTCAGATCTGCTCGTGGATGGATTTGGGAGTTGCAAGGCATTGTCGTTCTCAGTGCAAAGCACATCTCTTCTTTGCAGGAGTTTGGCGTCGGAAGTTTTAGCGCTAGCGGTTTTTGTGGCCCTGTCACTTTCGTCAACCCTGTCCCTATCTGGTTCTTCCTTGTTCGCATCTCGGGAAATCCGCCAAATTGTGAGCGCTTCCATTCACAAATGTCACCTGATCCTGCATGGCACCCCAGCCTCAAGACGCAGAAAAAGAAGAAATGCATCCCTAGTTAAGCTGGGCTACGGAGGGCGCCAATTACTTCGGTCTGGGCTTTCAAAGTCAGACACACGTTCAAGATAAATGTACGTACGGTCGGAACCCTACCGGTTCTCATGAGACCTTGGTATCACTATAGTGGTGTGAAAATGGTGGAAGGCCTCCTGTTAGATTGAGCAAGACGAAAGAATCGCTGTGACCTTTATGAGTAGTGAAATAAGTGTAACTAAGATGATTTAGCGGACCAACAGACAAGCCTGCCAGAGAACTGGCGCGCTTGTGCGCGCCAAGGGATGTTGATGCGATTGCTGTAGCTATTGCAATTGTCATTGTTGGTATGTATATGGGGTTTAGGCTAAGCGGAAGGGTAGGATCATGATAGGATTGGTGGCCCCCAGGGTGGCATGCAGATTGATGGTTGCTGAACTGCTTGCTGACGGGTTTGCTGGCTTGTTTGTGTTTTTGCTTGGTGGCTTGCTTGCTGGCTGTTGCTGGCTTGTTGGCTTGCTGCCTTGCTTGTTGGCTGCTTGCTCACTTGCTTGCTGGGGTGTGGGTCGCCATTGTGATGACAGTGATGGAGGCAAAGGAGGGTCCCCAGCTGAAGCCATAGCCTCAAGACTGCTGGAGTGAAAGCCGTGTGGTTTTGAGATGTTTGTACTGATCCACTGAAAAGAAGATCACAAGGGGAGCTGCAACTATGAAGGGGAAGTAGGGAAGTTCAAAACAAAAAAGGCGCACAAGCACCGTCATGCGTGTAAGGGTCTAATTCAACACAACCTCGGCTGCCTCGGCTGTCGCCCCTCGTGCAAAGAGATGACTTCCGTCATTCTTTGAATTATCCACTCTAGCAAAAGGAGGAAAGAAGGAAGCTCCTGGATACAGGGAGTGATGCACACACACAGCCTTAAGATAAAGGCAGGTTTTCGTACGCAGTTGGATGTCTCCAGCTGTGTCGTGCCAGCCCCCCCCCCGTGGAGCCGGCAAAGAAAGCAAAGAGACAACTTCCGAATAAACTGTTTGTACACACGCACACATGCAGGTCAGTGGCCGCAAAGGAAGCATGGAGGCACTTGCAACTGCTGGTTTGCTCAACAACAATGCGCAGGCTCGTTGTGTTTCCTCGTTGGTTTGACAGCCCTGTTTATCCTTCTGTTTTTTTTGCCAGCATTCTGTCGTTTGACGCATTAACAGGTGCTGCAGACATCAAGTGGTGAACTTGACGTTGCTTGCCTGAATGCAGGGCTTTGAAGGGGAGGGTTTCCTATATTATATTCATATGAAGTGCCTTCAAACTTTGCGATGATTGCGCTCCAAGCCCTGTGACATGATAGGGGGCTCTCCAAGAAAGAACGATACCCTTTAACAAGGTTCCAAAACATTGGAAAACGATAGAGAGAGAGAGAGAGGGAGCTCACAAATCTGAGGGTGCAGCAGCCACACATAACAAATTTATATATCACATTTTGACCGTGCATGCTATGCTCTTGAGAACGTCGCATTGAGGTCTGCGGTTCGCCGACGGAAGTTGCCATTTTCAAAGCGGCTTCTACAATGCTCCTGTTGCAAGAAGAAACTGTGTTCTCACATCGGGTCTTCAAGGGAGCTTCTCCCACCCTAAGGGCCGAGAGGAAGCTTCATTGAAGAACATGAACTGATTCTTTTTGCTGTTGCTGGCAGCTTATGTTTGCTACTTAGCTTGTACTACCACTGCATCCTAATGATACACATACATATATATATATATATATAATATATACTGTATATATATATATAGACTGTAGCTGGTTCATCCTTGAAACAAACATGTTTTCTCCTGTTGTCCTGGGGCTTTTGAACCAGAGGTCCGGGACATGATATGACCCGGATGTCTCCAAGGCTCGGATTGTCGATCCGTGATGCAGCTCCAGAGCAGGCAGGGGCCAAAAGAAGAGTTCTCAGACCTTTTCGTCAGTATTTCAGTGTTTGCATGATTTTTGTGTTTGGTCGTAAGAAACGAAGCCGTTGGGGTTCTCAGTCTTTAGCATTGTCATGGAGAGAATTTGACCGTCAATCCTTTGGGGCTCCTTAGCTCCTTGAGTCTTCCCAGTGAGCGCGGTCACCAGGCGACACTCTCCCGACCAGGTGGCTGTCACCACGTGATACTTGTCTCCTTTCTTCCTTGTCTCCCCACGCGGTGGACGACGCACACGCCTGGCGGCTGCTTGCTTTGTTGCAATCAAAGTTCTGTTGGCAGAGGATCTCGCAAGTACAGTAAAGGTTTGTCTCATTTGTTCCACTTTCAATTGTTTTCACTTGTTTGGGGTCCATGCTGGTGTATCACCACAGGTAGCTTGAGCTACCTGAGTTCTCTATTGTAGCTGTGTTTGCCCATGTGTTGGGGTCTATATGTAAAGTTTCAATGAGGCGGTGGAGGCCCTCCCCTTGGGTCAACTCCCAGCTTGTCCATTCAGAAGTACAGCCACATACATGCTCAATGTGGCATAAAAGCCCCAAGAAGAGTCTGAAGCACTGCTGCGCTATAGGACATGATCCACTTTCCAATTTCTTCGTGCGTTACTCCTCGCGCGCCAGTACGTGCCTACAAGCTCTTTTCGGTCACCCCGCTCACCCTCTCATCTCAAAATTATGCCAGCATAGACCCCAGATAGCAAAAAGACATTTCCGGCCGCAGCAGCAACGGCGCCAGCGCACAGCAGCGGCCCCAAGCGCACACAAGAGCGGCACCCTGCAGCGGCACCAGCACCCAAGCTCACGCAGCTCTTCCTATACTTGGAATAGGAAACCCAATAGCTCACGCTATCTAGGGAAATGCGCCAGCATAGGCTCCAGATAGGAAAGTGACCTTTCTGGCAGCACCAGCAGCAACGGCGCCAGCATTCCCAAGCGCACACAGCAGCAGCACCCTGCACAAAAGCTCCCAAGCGCACACAGCAGCGGGACCCTGCAGCCGCAATAGCACCCAAGCTCGCAAACGCACACACGCAGCTCTTCCCATAGCTCACGCTATCGGGTGAAAAGCAATACAAAAAGTGCTCCAGAATACTTAGTCTATATAAACCAAAAAGTGTACAAGCATGAAAGAAAGCGAAACCATCAAGGGAGACAAGCTTGGGAGACAAGGCGGCAGCGGCAGCCACGGGCGAAATCATGAAGGGAGACAAGCTTGGAAGACAAGTCGGCAGAGGCAGCCAAGAGCGAAATCATCCAAAAAGACACAATCTTCACAGACAAGGAAGGCGGCAGCGGCGGCCAAGAGCGAAATTATGAAGGGAGTCAAGCTTCACAGACAAGGCAGCAGCGGCAGCCAAAGGCGAAATCATGAAGGGAGACAAGCTTGGGAGACAAGGCGGCAGCGGCAGCCAAGAGCGA